GTTTTTCGTATACAATGATATAATATCATTGGATTCAAATTTAATTCCATCCATTACAGTAACCCACTTGTAACCTACTGTACAGCAGAGCGACATCTACGACTTACCCGCCTTTTTACTATATGCAAATAGAACTAAAATAAATGCAACTAATTATAAAATGTTTTTAGATCAACGGGATTGTGGTAATATTTATATTTTATGTTTTCCAATTTTATAATCGTAGAGTTTATTCTCCCTATTATATAGCATTGCTGCATTATTTGTAAATTTTTCGTTATCATGTTGTAAATCTATGACTTGACAACAGACAAGACAATTGGATACGACGATCGTAAAATAAGTTATTTATATAACATGGGTTAACGATTGTGTGTTTATCTGTACCTAATAGCATTGATTATAAATACTATAGATCGCTCACTGCCGTGTAAAAGCCCCTGCGCGTTCAGCTGCGTTTGCCACTATAAGCCGCTGTAGTCGGATATGAGTACCGGCGTTTCACGTTTGAATAGCTAGTGCGCTTTATTAGTCCCACCTCCCAAAATAAATTAATGTATTGTAAAATCGTGTTTTTGAAAATTGTTTTGAATTTTAAACTAATAACTATATATTACTACAGAACAGTGTAATATTTAATCAGTTGAGTCGATTCAGTCATGTTGTCGATGATAAAATATATTTATTATAGCAGGCGCGGATCTATTAGAAAAAAATATGAAATAAAATAAGGGGTGGTGAGGCTAAAAGAAAAAATTTACTTTTAAATTATTTTATTTTACTCCAGGAAACATTGGACCTAACCTAACCTAAAAAAATAACACTTTCTTATCATTGCTTTCCCATTCAGTTTTAATACATTTTGATAATTTAAAGTAAAACCCTTTATAACCGTTTTGAATTTATTATCATTTGTTTTATAATAATAACTTTTAGAACCTGTAGATGCCCAATCTGTTATATGTACATTTTCACCTAATTCATCAGTCCATTCTCTCAACATTGATCCTGTTTTAATTTTAATAATGCCATTATCTATATAGAAAATAGAGTTGATAGCATAATAAACTACAGCTCTACCTAATTTATCTAACATTGTACATAATCTTAATCTTGCACTAGATGTTGTAAATAAAGTTATTAAAATATTAATTTGTATTATGAAAATTTTCAAAGAAATTCAACAAGCGGATAAATTGAAGATATTCCGAAACAATTAAAACATGTTTCATACTTAGAAATAGTAGACTTAATGATATTTTTATAATTAAAAAAATCTAAAATCCCATACATTTTCTTTCCGAGTACCTTTTTAATTATTGTACCAATATATTATTGTACTGTGTCATTACGATTAAAATGTTGTTATCCTAAATTTGTGTTTATTATAAAATAAAAAAAAAAAGGTGATAAATAATAATATGTTGTATAACCTTCTCAAATAAAACCCAAAATAAATACAGTCATGTAAAATAATAATATAAATATAAAATGCTGATATACCGACCTTATAACTATAATTTTTTTGATTTTGTTGAATTCCAGTGTTGCCGCGCTTAGTATGCGCGATGCGAGCGCAAATAATATTGTTAGTACGAGAGTGCGGGTCGCGGGTCGACGAGCAACGGAGGTTGACGATGATGTGCGACGGCAGTCGGCGATTATGATGATCCGGCGGGTGATTAGAAAATATAATATATATTTTATTGTTGACAAAAATAATACCTTATCGCGCTCTATCGGAAATAATTTCCGCGTAGAGCATATTTTATATTGCAGTGAGCGATCTATAGTATTAATAATCAATTCTAATAGCAATAAAAAAAAAAAACCCAATCATTAGTCAATGCAATCGCGAACGAGCTTATATTGTGACTATAGCATTATAGTAACGTACGTGTTCGGTGTTATTTTCTTTTAGTGCAGACCACGGTTATAATTAGTATTATTAGTGTTATTATTATTATTAGTGTTATTATTAGTAGATAACCGTGGTGCAGACGAAGTTTACACTTTCCTTGTTTGTATGAATATTTGATTTTTTTTTAAATTTTCATTTGTAACTTTTTTAATGAAACTAGTAAAATGAGTAACGGGCGATCATGTTTAACTGACTATAAGTATAAAAAAATCGCGGGAATAAAATCAACTAAATAACTTAGTGCAAAAAATTAAGTTTTTTCATATGAATTTAGGTATATTATGTATATGTTACGGGCAAAGTAGGAAATCCGGGCATTGTATAACAATGGCCGGGCACTGTGCACAATGCCCGAATATATGAAAGAATGTAAGAATGATCATTTTAATACTCAAATTTGTCATACATTGACAGGGCATCGTACTAGATTGCCCGGGCAAAGTGTACCCTGCCCAGATTCAAATGGGCAAAGTTAATTATACAGTGTGCTGTACACTTTTATATCAAATTGCATTTATACGTAATAATATCACTATAAAACTATAATTATATATTTTATTCGTACACGACAATGCCACAGCTGCGATAGTGCGAACCGAACCGTGATCTAAACGATAAGTGATCACACAGTATTGTAGATTTGTAGATAATATTTTATAATCGAATCGTTAAATTCCTATTCGATATTTTTTAATGATTATTTTCACGATGGAGACGTCGCGTAGTCTGACATTTTAGTGTAGGTAGTGCAGTTGCGTGTAGTGTTATTTTTTCTTTTGGTCAACGTTTTTAACTTTTTCCTAAGTATTTGTGTACTATTTTCCAACATAAAATGGAAAAAAAGTTTAATAAGAAGTTTAACAATTTACTTCTTAATTTTTATATTAATAATTTTTTTAATAGTAAATGATAATTTATATGAAATTGGAACAAACGAGGGCAGACTACATCAAGTCTACAGTCGGAACCAATTCACAATATGCAAAGAGGTGTTTATCCAGGCTGATGATGCACCACCAGAACAAATTTCATTAAGAGAAGTAGCAAGAAAATTTTCTAATTTGGGTGGCCAAGGGTACGATAGGTGTACTTGCAATTCATTGTGTAAGACTAACCGATGTAAACATAGATAATACATAATGGATAGGCCCTGTGTATACTAGTTACATTGCGGGAAGCGTTCCCGAATAAAGAAGAGAGACAGCAATATAAAAAACGTATCTTCTACCTTACTCAGCAAAAAAGTTATCTTTTCTTCCATGGTTTGTGTGTTTTKCCATGCTTGTTTTAGCACAGAACACTGATAAGTGATAACCGATATTCTATATCACTTGCATTGTGGGATTTGAATCGTGCGTTTAACGCATTGAACTATATGATATAGTTCAATGGTTAACTTTCGTTAATAACCAGTCCATCGATTTAATAGTATTTTAGTTAATTAGTAATTACCTATATATATTTATGATTTAATTTTTAAAACAATTGTATCAATGTGCACGAACTTAAATATATTTCATATACCTATGAAATTTACATATTAATAAATAATACATAGATTTTTTTATWTACATAAAATAGCAATAAATAATTAATAGAAAATACAGTTAAATGTTTAAAAACATTAAAATAATACAAAATGAATCATTTTTAATATTTGCCTGACTTTAAATAGGTATTTAGTTAAATGCCTAGTCATTTTATTAAATTACTAGGCATTTGGCTAAGAGTCTATGCGGATAGTGAAATTGCATAAAAATTAAATTCTTTGACTATATGCCTTGTAACGGGAAATCGTTATTCGGTATTTAGTGTTTCATACGATTTCACATACACCGCATACCAATACTGCTATTGCGCCCAGCCGTAAGCGCACAAACTATACAGTAGAATCCGCTTATTTGGGACACCGCATAAAGGGGACAACCGCTTAATGGRGACAAATTGTCATAGTCCCGAACGGATGTATAAGCTTAATACAATTTAACTTCGTTTATCCGGGACAAACCATCGGTTATAAGGGACAAAAAAAAAAGCGTTTAACAAGATATTTTGGCCTAAATTATCTGATTTCTTATCGAAACTGTAATTATCTAATCTTTATGGCTCTATTATATTTTATATACGCACGTATATGTACAGGCAATGCACGTATATCTTACGTCAATTATGTCAATCATTTTTTTTCCATTTCCACAATAAGAGTCAACTAGCCTACGTACAAAATCGAAAACCTTTAGTTCAAGTGCGTTCGTCGATGTGCATTAATGTATGTGCGTTTTTATTATTCCCAGTTTGTGATAGTACGTAATAATATTATGTCTCGTAAAGATTTAACATTGATTGAAAAMATTTCTATACTGGATAAAATTAAGGCTCAACCTCATAATACTAGTCTTCGTGAGTTARAGAAATTAATAGGCACGTCTAAATCGGTACTAAGCCGATTGAAAAATAATGAAATAGCTATTCGTGAACAATAAGAAAAACTAAACGACAACAAAAGTGCACCTGTAAACAGAAAAAGAAAACGAGAAGGCAAAGATCCCGAAGTAGACAAAGCTATGAACGAATAGTTTTCTGCTGTTACAGAACGTGGTGTTCGTATTTCGGGCCCCATGTTACAGCAGAAAGCTGAATTTTTAGCTGAAAAAATTGGACATAGTGAATGGCCACAGAAGGTTGGATAAGTCGATGGAAGGATAGGAATAACATTAAATTCAAGCGATTTCACGGAGAAAAATCTAGTGCTGATACAAACGGTGCTAATGAATGGTCTTTAGCTAAATTACCGGAAATTCTTAAAAAAATTTCTCCTCAGGACATTTATAACGCCAATGAAACTGGGTTATTCTACCGAGCGACTCCGGATGGTTCTTTGTGCTATAAACGCGAAACACTTGAAGGATCAAAAAAAGCTATGGATCGTATAACAGTTTTATGTTGTTGTAATATGGCAGGCACATATAAAAAAAAACTGTTGATAATTGGAAAATCCGCAAAGCCAAGATGTTTTAAAAATATAAAAATAACAAACTTACCTGTTTCTTATTTAGCGAATAAAAATGCATGGATGACAGCAGAAATATTTACATCGTATTTGAAAGACTGGGACAAAGAGCTCGGAAAACAATCAAGGAAAATTATATTAATTGTTGATAATGCTGGACCACATCCAAACTTGATAGATTTAAAAAATATCACACTTGAGTTTCTGCCTCCAAATACTACTTCTCTCATTCAACCACTCGATATGGGGATCATTAAGAATTTAAAAACTCATTACCGTGGACTATTGGTAACATACATTTTAAAGGCTATTGAAGATAATTTAGTAACTCCTACTACGTGTGCTATAGATATCAGTTCTAAAATAAACATTCTACAAGCAATACAATTTGTCGCTGATAGCTGGAGAAAAGTGTCGTCGGTTACGATTCAGAATTGTTTTGCACATTGCGGTTTCAGACCACTGATTGATCTACCTATTCCTCCTATTGTTTCTATTGAAAATGACSTAGGTTGTGTTGGTACGTGTGTTGTAGTTTTATTCCTCAACAATCCTTGAATGACAGCTTCTCTAAATTCCACAAGTTTCATTCTATTTCCAGTTACACCAGTATACAATGATAGAGCATTGATCATAGATGTGTTACATATTATATCAAACATTATTTTTCTATACCATTTGAGAGATTTCCTTAGGCAAGAGTGATAAGAGCCCATTTGATCTGTCAAATCGATATACGATTTCCCTGTATTATAATCTGYAATAACTTTAGGTTTTTCAATTACGGTTCTTCTTTGGTTAACATTTATCATTAAATTTGTATGCATTGTGCTTAACATCAAAACATCACGTCGGTCTCTCCACTTCAGTACCATAATACCACGTCGATTTTGTTTTGAAATTACTCCTCCTCTAACTAGTTTTTTGGMTATCACCTCTTTTGGATTCCGTTTTCGGTTGGATCTTAGCGTTCCCACTAAATGTGTTTGTCTATCAAGTAATTTTTCTGCAAGATCAATACTGGTGTACCAATTATCCGCGTATTAACACCTTCCACTGTCCAAGTAAGGCTGCATAAGTTCCATAACAAMTTTACAAGATACAAGTTGCCCAGGAACAGCTTCTTTTCCGGCATATATTTTGTACTGTGATGTATAAAAGTCTCGAGTACATAGTTTAAAAATTTTTACTCCATAGCGATGTCTTTTATTGGCTATATATTGGCGGAAAGAAAGACGACCCAAAAATGGAACCATCGATTCATCAATACACAAGTTTTTTYCTGGTATTAGGGCATTGTTATACTTATCTACTAAGATGTCAACTAATGGCTGAATTTTGTATAGACGATTGTTTGGAGGTGCTTTGCTATTATCTGACACGTGGAGGACAGAAAGTATCAACTCAAACCTATTTCGTGACATGTATTTTGGGATTTCACACTTATATAAAAAATTATCAGATTTCCAGTAATGAGCAATACTTGGCTTTTTATTCAAACCCATCCACATTACTATTCCAAAAAAACATTTAAGTTCTTCTTTATCAATATTGGTCCATTTTGTTATTCTTGMACTACGACTATTTCCTTGTTTCTTCAATTTATCCTGAGCATATTTATTTGTTTCCACCACTAGGAGATTTATTACTTCGTCATCAAAAAATAGAGAAAAAAAATCAAAAGGGCTTAACGAAACCATAGTTTCTATAATGTCTGGGTTTATACCAACGTCATCATTATTTGGATTWAAAACTATATTTGAATTCATATTTGGTTGTTCAAAAATATCTATCCACTCACGTGTTACTTCATTTTCTTCTTCAGATCTATAGTTTTCTCCTTGATTGTCAATATCATCATTTTCCCAATTAGGATCGTCGTCTGTGTCGTCGAAAGATGAAAGCGAGCTATTTGAATTGGTATCACTCTCATCAAGTAAATCCGAAATTTGACACTGATTCWTTTTGAGGTAATATTGTATAAAATAAGCTACACTTTTTACAAACACCTAATACAAATTTATGAATWTGACACACACGACACACATCGAACTATACAAATGACACTGAACGACTGAACTGCTTTAAAGCATTACACAATAATATTATATTTTTGAAGTAGATAAGAAAATTGTATCGAATAAAATGAATTGTAAAAGTACAAAAATAGATTCTAACATAAATCAACACATATGAAAGCGATAGTGTGGTGGCAGACTATCGGTGCCGCGATAAAATAGAAATATAATAAAATAGAATAGTAAAATTTAAAAATACCTGTAGCAATGAATAATATATATATATATACGAATTAAAACGAAAAAATATTATTACGTAAGTTCTTCGTATTATTTTAGTTTATATATAAGTAAAATAATACCATTAATAATTATTCAACTGTATATTATAAGAATAATGTCTAGATACAATAAAGACTAAAAAATATAATAAAGCTTAACTATAATAAAGCTAAAGACGCCTATACAAATTGTCGACTACCCGTCGACCGCGGCATTTAACGTGTTGATGGTCTGGTAGGCCACGTGTACATTTATCTGACACAACATTATTTTTTAAAATATTAACTAAAAAAGGACTTGCAAGTAATAAACAAAAAAACAAAATTATAAAAAAAAGAAGTTTTTGCAAATTATCGTTTAAAATTTGTTGGACAGTATAAAAATATTTGCATATACAAGTATGGAGATTTGTTAGTGTACAAAAAAATGTACACGTGGCAGTCAACCTGTTAATTTACGATATAATATAATACTAAATTGTAAATATAATGTACAACTGCTAATAATAATAATAATAATATGTAATTTTTAAATAAAGTATGAATTAAGTGTGTATGTATGTATGTATTTTTTAAATAAAGTTATTATGTATGGATATATGCACTWTAATAGTTTYGGTTTATTAGTTATCCGGTTAATCGGGACAGTCGGATAATGGGGACAAATAGGTCACCGCCCAATGTGTCCCAATTAAGCGGATTCTACTGTATTTCAGTAGAACAGTGAGTATAATGCTAAACACGAAACATAGAGAGCGCTGAACAGTGACACCTACTAATTAATGTAGTGTGGCCGGCAGCATTTTACGCATCAAAAGTTGGATGTCACGATCGGAACGTGTATGATTCCAAAGTACAACACAAACACAGTTTATCAAGATTCAGAGTAGCACGCAGAGGTAAAACGGGGTCAATAAATACGACGAAATTAAAGTGTAGCCAGCACATAAAACTACAACGAGCGTGAACAACCGCAAGTGCATAAATACAACCGGCCAGCAGTCAGTCTACACATCCCGCTCCTTGCCGTGGTATCGAGGAGACGATACAGTGGAATACAGTATATCATGTGTGTGAAGTTGGGGTAACAAAGCCAGGGGACTATTTCTAGTGATAAGAAACCTTGTGTGTTGTCTTGCATTTCATTTAATTTCAGGGGTGACGTACTATTGCAGCGAAACCGTAAAATAGATGTCGCCCTATGTTACACAATAATTTTTCAAAATTGATTCAAAAGTATATAAATAAACTCTGTTGACGTYAAATAATAATGGAAAGTTAGGTTATAAATTCAAAATACCACGATAATATATTGTCATCATAATAATATAATGACAAATAAATAATAACGAAAAGTTAGGTTATAAATTCAAAATCCAATATACGTTGTTCAGTTTTCAGTTTATAATTTACATTAGCTAATAAT